TTGTCTAGTGCAATTAGAGAAACAAACACAAATTTACACAAACTAGTGAGTTAAGTATAATTTCCATTTTGGCCTACATATACTTGAATGTATACCCTTAACATTTCATTGTTCGGGTAACAAAAACTACATTTCCTAATCTACAGTCAATTCCCTAGAATTGTTTTAGTCCTGTTTTTCCTCGGTGTGGCTTATTTAATCCAAAAGATTGGGATATAATTTGGCAATCCAGCACATTCACAGCAATCCCTTCAGAAGTCTGGAAGCTACTTGATAATATACAGTTTAGGGTATAAAAGAAAAGGCATTTTCCTGTTGGTCCCCTACCCCCAAATTAAATCTTTAAAAGTTTTAAGCCTAAGGGCCGGGGATTTTAAGCAGTTCGGTGGCCTGCCTCGTAAGCACAAGGACCCGAGTTCGATCCCCGGTACCAAAAAAACAAAAAAACAAACAAAAAAAAAAACCAACTTTTAAGCCTATTTCAAGCATATAGAAAAGCATGGAAAAGAATATAAATGACTTTATGTACTCATCACTTATTGTTAAATTTTACTATTGTCATATAAACTTTTAACTTTAAAAAAGTCGCATATGAAACCCCCTGGATATAAGCCCTATTCTGAATTTGGAGCTTATTCCCATGTTGTTATTCTTATGGGTTTTTGTTTTTGTTTTTTGGTACCGGGGATTGAACTCAGGTCCTTGCACTTGCAAGGCAGGCCACTGAACTTCTGAGCTAAATCCCCGGCCCTCTTATGTTTAAGTAACCAAAAATAATGTAGCTTATTTTGCAATTTATACTTTAAGTACTATCTCATACATATCACTGTGCACCTCCATTTTGGGTTGTTTGTACATGTAACTTGATTTGTCAGTAGAGATGTATCCCATTGCACCAAAATTTGTTAACTTGTGAATGAATGGTCTTCTGGTTGCTTCCATGTTTTGTTACTACAAATGATACTATTTTGTACATTTTTGTACATGTCTCTGTTCACACATGCAGGTTTCTCTTAAGTAATTTTGCACACAAATCATCTGATGGCTCTTGTTAAAATGCATGCTCTGATTCAGCAAGTTTGGGGTGAGAACTGACATTCTATGTTTGTATTAAGTTCCCATGTGACACTGATGGTGCTGGCCCTGGGATCACACTTTGAGGAGGAAACATCTTGCAGAGGAATGAACTGTAGGTTGCAGAGGATGTGCACCTTTAATGTTATCAGATGTTGCCAGATTTCTCTCTGAAGTGCTTATACCAACTCACACTTTCATCATCCTCGTACAGGTTATTACATCTTCACAATACTATACTGCCATCAATACTAGTTATATTTTCATTTTTGCCAGGTTGATGGGTGTGAAGTGGTAACTCATTAATTTGTCTTTCATTAGTACTGAGGTTGGACCTTTTGAGTTTCTTCTGTAGTAGTTTAAAACTAATATTTGAAGGATAGAAAATGTCTTCATTAATCTGTTCATACTTTAAAGCATTCTTAAAATATTCCCTCACTTTTTTTTTTTTTTGGTTTTTTGAGATATGGTCTCACTATGTAGTTCAGACTGCTCTGGAACTCACTGTGTAGCCCAGGCTGGTCTCAAACTCGTAGCAATCCTCCTGCCTCAGCCTCCCGAGTGCTGGGATTACAGGAGTATGCCACCACGCCCAGCTTCCCTCACCTTTTGAAGGCTTTCATTTATAACTTTTTAAAATGGTGGATATAAAAGGAAAAGCAAGCCAGGAATGGTGGTGTATGCCTATAATATGATAAAAGATAGCAATCTGAGAGAGGCAGGAGGATGACAAATTTGGTGATTTTGTGTGTGTGTGTGTGGTACTGGGAATCAAACTCAGGGCCTTGTGCTTGCTGCTGAGCTACATCCCTGGCCCAGAGGATCACAAATTTGGGTTCAGCCTGGGCAGTTAATGGAGAGGGAGAGAAAGAGACGGGGAGAGGAAACAGACTTGCTGAAATTGTCTTTCTCATCTGAAAGTGTTATGCTTCGTCCCACAAATAATACCCATGAGGGAAAACTGTGGGAAACACATTACAAGGGTAATGTGTGCGTGTTGTAGAACATAGTAATAAACAGAAAAAAAGTGTGCTCTTAATTTATTATCTAGTATACCACGATGGTTAAAGGCATCGACTTCTCAACCCAGTGTTTGAATCTCAGTTCAATTATTTGTTAGTTGCTTCACCTAGGATGGGTCATTTAACATCTCCAAGTCTCAGTCTTCTAATTTAGAAAACACAGTTGTTTTTTTTTGTTTGTTTGTTTGTTTTGGTACCAGGGATTGAACTCAGGCATGCTTTCGAGGCAGGTACGGTGCCACTGAGCTACATCCCTGGCCCAACAGATCTTTTTCTTTTTTTTTTTGGTTTTTTGAGACAGGGTCTCACTATGTAGTTGAGACTGACCTGGAACTCACCATGTATCTCAGGCTGGTCTGGAATGCACAGAGATTCTCCTGTCTCAGCATCCCGAGAGCTGATTATAGGCATGTGCCACCACGCCTGGCTCTAACAGATTAATAGTACTTAGATTATAAGGTTGTGAGGATGAAATTAACTATAAATATAATAAGGTGTTCTCTGGCACATAAGAGCTCATTAAAATATGAGCTTTTAAAAAGTTTTAGCAATCCCCTCACGAGTATACTTTCCCTCTAAATTGGATAACATTGTAGTATGTGCTATTTTACAATCAATCTTTTACCCACTGACTACAGAAAGAAAACTTTACCAAGCTATTCCTTATTTTTTAAAGGTAATTTAGAAAAGATGCTTAGTACTCTAATGTATGAATCTACTGCAATTAACCAGTTTAATGCTTTGTTACAATACTTTACTCATACTATATAGTTAATTCTTTTTGTCTTTAAAATTTTTTTTTCAGCTTTAATTGAGTTTATTGGTAGATTTTAGGGATACAGTACAGTTACATTCATTGTTGGGATCTTGTACCTCTACATGACAGGTCTTGATTCTCATTTTTTCCCCTTACCTCTGCCCTCCCTTCACCCCCTCCTCCCCTCCCCATCTAACACTTTATTTCCATCTTTTCATTCTCTCACATTTTTTTCTTTTCCCTTATTACCCTTCCCCTACCCATCCCACCTTCCCTACACCTTTAGCCCCTTTCTTCCCATTTCATAATGTCAGTAATCTTATTAGGATCTTCTGTATTATTGCAGTTTATTCACACCAGAGAAACTATTCGGTATTTATACATGTGTGATTTATTTCACTTAGGAGTATATCTTCAATGTTTCCATTTTCCTATGAATGAATCTATTTTTCTCATTCTTTATGGCTGAGTAATATTCCATTTTATAGAAAAACCACATCTTCTTTATCCAGTTTCCAACTGATAGGCAAATGGGCTGTTTCCAAGTTTTAGCTGTTGCAAACTATGCCGCTATAAACATGGGTGCGCATACATCACTGTGATATGATTCTTTTAGTTCTTTTTTTTTTTTTTTGGTACCGGGGATTGAACTCGGGTCCTTGTGCTTGCAAGGCAGACCACTGAACTGCTGAGCTAAATCCCCAGCCCGATTCTTCTAGTTCTTTTGGAAAGATACCCAGCAGAGGGATGGCTGGGTCAAATGGAGCCTCTAGTCCCAGCTCTTTGAGGTATCTCCATATTGATTTCCATAGTGGTTGCACCAGTCTGCACTCCCACCAACAATGGAGAAGGGTTCCTTTCTGCCCACAACCCCACCAGCATTTGTTATTGTGTGATTTCTTGATAGCAGCATTCTTTGTGGGGTGAGGTGGAATCTCAGTGTTGTTTTCATCTGCATCTCTCGAATGACCAGTGATGTGGAGCATTTTTTCATATATTTACTTGCTGCTTTTACTTCTTAGTCTGAGAAATGTCTGTTCATTTTGGATGACGACCCAAAAACTCCACCACAGACTTCTAGACTTAATTGACAGATTCAGTAGAGTAGCTGGATACAAGGTGAACACCAAAAAATCAATAGCCTTCTTGTACACAAATAACCGACTCACTGAGAGAGAAATTAGGGAAACAATTCCCTTCACAATAGCATCCAAAACAATGAAGTATCTAGGAATCAATCTAACAAAAGAAGCAAAAGATCTCTACACTGAAAACTATAGCACTCTGAAAAAAGAAATTGAAGAGGATATAAGAAAATAGAAAGATATCCCCTACTCCTGGGTAGGAAGAATCAACATAGTGAAAATGGCCATACTACCAAAACTGCTATATACATTCAATGCAATGCCAATTGAAATTCTAACACTATATTTCACAGAACTAGAAAAAAGAATCCAAAAATTCATTTGGAACCATAAGAGACCTAGAATAGCAAAAGCCATCCTAGGCAACAGACATGGCAGCGGGTATAACAATTCCCAATTTGAAATTATACTACAAAGCCACTGTGATAAAAACAGCATGGTACTGGCAAAGAAATAGGCCTGAGGATCAGTGGAACAGACTGGAAGACACAAAAACAAATCCAGATGTACCCAGCTACCTCCTTTGACAAAGGAGCTGACCATCCTCAGTGGAGGAAAGATAGTCTCTTTAATAAATGGTGTTGGAAAAACTGGATTTCAACCTGCCACAGATTAAAACTGGACCCTTATCTTTCACCATGCACTAAATTTAAATCCAAGTGGATTAAAGATCTAAATATTAAAACAGAAACACTAAACTTGCTGGAAGGTAAGTTAGGCAGAACTCTCGAAGACATTGGCATAGGAAAAGACTTTATGAACAAATCCTCAGTAGCATGGGAATTAGCAGATAGAATCAACAACTGGGATCTCATCTTATTAAAAATCTTCTGTACTGCAAAAGAAACTATCAGCAGAACTAAAAGATAACCTACAATGTGGGAAAAAATTTTTACCAGCTGCTCCTCAGACAAAGGACTATTATCTAGAATATATAAAGAACTCAAAACAATCAGCCCTCCCCAAATATAGAGACCCAATTCAAAAATAGGCATCCGAAATAAATTTTTTTTTTTTTTTTGGTGTGGAGGCTTGAACTCAGGGCCTCCCACATGCTAAGCACTGTCTCTTTCACTTATCTACACCTCCAGCCCCTTAAGAGCTCTCTTTACTATCAGCTCACTCTCCCCCTTTAAATTGGCTCCCAGCTGTTTCATCTCCCCCTTCGCATCTATGGTTAGACAACCAAGCAACTTAAATCAGTTTACTGCAATTTTACCTTATTTGCAATTCTGCCAGTTGTCCTAGGCCCCAGTGAGACAACTCAGCAGCTGGGAAGGGTGCTGTTTTTGCTTTGGGCGGTGTAAGCCTTACAGTTAGTCTAGCTCTTCTGAAACTGGCTCTTGCTCACTGTAAAAACCCAGAAGATGAAGCATAGGCTGTTGCTGCCTTTTCCTTTTAATTTCTTGGCCATCTGGAAACTCAAACTGCCTTTGTGCCTGAGCACTTCACTCTCACATATTCTGATTTCCCAAAGCCCTGGTGCCCCTTAGTTCAAGTCTATGAGTTCCTAGTCTTCTTGATGCCTGTAACCTCTGTGCCTGCATACTGCTAGATTCTACAGTGTAGACTTCACTGCTTAATTTCTCATACTTTTAAGTAACCCATAACATCTGCTTCTGCTTTTTGACAACTTTGCATTATTTGACAATTTTGGGTTCCATTAAATTTACATTTTTGGGTGTATGCACACAAGATTCGCAGATACCACTAAGCAGTAAAATTCAGCTGGATGTTTCCCAAACTTGCCTAAAAATCATATGGAATATTTGTTAACATACTTCCAAGCCCAGCCAAATGGAAAGGCCTCACAATCTGGATATATTGTCTGGGTAAACAAACATTCCAGGTGATTCTTAGAACCAGGCACATTTGAAAACAGTGAGTCCTTAACCTGCATCCTCTGAGAACTTCAAGGACATTGGGAATTTCAACTGGGACATAAGCTTGGAGTCCAGTTAGAACCAGAATGTCTCCCAAAATTCAGCCTGAATAAAAGGTGAGGCCTTTAGAAGATGATTCAATCATGAGGATAGACCCTGCATGGACAGGATTGGGAACCCTTATATAAGAGGCTTGAGAGTGAGTTTGTTCTCTCCTGTCACGAGAGCACATCTCTTTTTGGCCATGTCCCTTTCTGCCATGTGAGAATGAAGGAACAAGGGTACCATCTTGGAGGGAGAGAGCAGGTCTTCATCAGACAGTGAAACTTCTGGCACCTAAATCTTAGACTTCTAGCCTCCACAACTATAAGTAAATTTCTGTTCCTTATAAATTACCCAGGCTTAGGTATTTTGTTATAGCAATAAGAATGGACTAAGACATCTATAGGTAGTGCAGGGTTTATAGAAGCAATCAAATGCTGATTCACCTATTAAGTTGGAATACTGAAAGTTCTTTACAGCTGGAGGACAAAGAAAAAGAAACTTATGGTCTGCATACCATCTCTACACCAGGGATGGTTTCAAACATGAAAAATAAGAATTCATGTGTATAGATTCTGTTCCAAATCCACTTCAGCTGGAATCATATAGTTCTTCAAAAAGTGTAATGGAATTTAGAAGAATTTAGATCCTCTAAGGACTGAATCCTTTGGATATATGCTAAAATGATTGAGAGTATGCATCTTTTATTAGGTTTTTTTAAATGTTAAAAAAAATCAGGGGCTGGGGATGTAGAAAACTCAATTAGCATGTGCAAGGCCCTTGGTTTAATACCCCCAGCACACATACAGAGCTTTAAAAAGTAAGACAATAAATGGTATAGAGAAAATAATTCAGTACAAATTTTTTTAGTTCCAAAATGGTAAAGTAATATAGAATAAGAAAATTATTTTATTCAATACAAATTATTTCAGTTCCATTCATAATTACAGTACAAAAAATTTCCTTCTCATTGGGATTTTATGTTTTATGTAGTCAGACTCAAGAAAAAAGTTAAACTTTAAAACCTATACATATATTATTTTATATGAACCACATAAGATAATCTCAGAAACCATTCCCAAGGCTGGGAACATAGCTTAGTAGTAGAGTGCTTGCCTCACATGTATGAGGTACAAGGTTTGATTCCCTAACACTTAAAAAAAAAAAATCTCCGAAGATCCTCAATCTCTCTATTCTTTTCTGTATTAAAAATTGCCCTTTTAGATATTTAGAAGCTCCATAGGTGGTGGCTTTAATGGAATTTTTCCCAGAGTAAATTTCTTGGACTGAAATTGTTCCAGTTCTTCTGCTGTTAGTTGATCCTTGGGTGTGAATAACACATTATCTGTTGTAATGAGGACACTGGAGACTGGGAGAGAGGTAGATGTGCTGCCACCTCCAAAGACGTCATTAGATGGCTTAGAAATAGCAGTGAGAGAATGTGAGCCAGAACTACCAAAACCAGCCACAGAACTGCCACTTCCAAAGGCTGGGGCCGCTGGAGATCCAAAAGGGCCTGCTGACACGGAAGTTGGAAATCCTGAAAGTCCGGGTGATCCCAAAGTGGAAGCTGAAGTGCTTTTAAATGAAAATGACGCAGCAGAAGTGATTTCAGGTTTCCCAAATCCAAAATTTGGAGTGGAAGTAGAACTGGCAGAATTAGTAGAGGGTACAGCTCCAAATGCTGGAGGCGCCCCAAACACAGAAGGGCTTCCAGCAGGGGCAGTGAAAATTCTACCGTTTGTTTTAAAACTAAAATTTTGAGTACTAGCACTGCTGTTATTATTCACTGGAAAACCTTAAACAAACAGAAAAAAAATCTATTATAATCAGAAAATTTAGCCCCATTACCCCTCTTTTTCTTATTTCTTCCACGTTTGGACATTTTTGGAAGAAACTTTTTGGAAAAGAAAAATGAAAATGAGCGGTTAGGATAAACTCACTAAATTCTATTCTCTTGTCATTTCTGGTACTTGTGATTTATCTTTACCCAAGAGAAATCTCAGGGACTAGTGGTCTTTCAATTTTGGTTGGCCCCCTATCTCACCAGAACTGGCACTTAACATCAGAAGCGATAAGAAAATTACCAAAGGTTCTGCTACCATAGTTTTGTAGTCCCATGAAACTCTTGAGAAAACATTCATAAAACATATTCTAAAATTCAAGCCACAGCTCTCTCAAAGAATATGCCCATTCTGGCCTGACTTTCACACTTGATAACCTAAGTTCTGAGGCTCTATAATGACAGTGGTATTTGCAAGGGTGATTCAGGCTTTGTAATTTGAAATGTACAAAATCCTACTCTTCTGAACTAGTGAAGCCCTGTGTTACTTTATCTCTTACCTGGTGACCCAAATGTTCCTGCTTGTCCACTTCCAAATCCAAATGTACGTGCTGTATGATTTGCTTCATCCTTTAACTCAGCGAGCTTTGAAAAAAAGTTTGCAAATAGTAAAGTACTTGATGAATAATTCTCAAGTACTTTTTCTATATGCTTCACAGGCATATTTATACTTTTTAAAATGTGTATTTGTAATTGTGAATTCATATGTTTAACATGGGAAAATGCCTATAATATGATGTTGAAAAGAGAGAATATAGAAAATATATCAACTAATATGAATATTCATAGAATTAGTTATTAGTGATTGTTTTTCACTGAGGATTATGGATGATTTTCATTCTATTTGTGCTTTTTAAATACTTTCAAATTTTCAGTAATAAGCATGTATTACAATCAGAAAAAAAATTTTATTTTTAAATTTTTTGAGACAGGGTCTCACTATGTAGTTCAGGCTGCCTTTGAATTCACTATGTAGCCCAGGCTGGCTTCAAACTCAAAGGGATCCTCCTACCTCAGTTTCTCAGTGCTGGGATTACATGTATGCTCAGAAAATATTTTTAACAATATATTTCAGTGTCTACATTGTAAGATTTGACCTACATTCATCAAGAAAGAACATTTAGAAGATATCCACTATAATGCTTGAACTAAAGTGGATTCACTATTACATTATTAAGAACTTACTACTAAAATTCATTACACATTTCCTATTCCCTAAATGTATTTTATGTTCTTTTATCTCTACTGAAATTTTAATCCCCCTTTCAAGGAACTTGTCACTGACTCCTTCCCTCTAAGACTTTGCTAATGAAATCAGATATAATTTCTCTTTTTTTTTTTTTGGTACTGGGGATCGAACTTGGGACCTACACTTGTGAGGCAGGTGCCAGAACCACTGAGCTAAATCTCCAGCTTGTTTTTGTTTTTTGAGACAAAGTCTCGCTATTATACTTAAGGCTGGCTTTGAACTCACTACGTAGCCTGGGCTGGCTTCAAACTTGTGGCGATCCTGCTGTGAGTGCTGGGATTACAGTTATGTGCCACCACACCTGGCTTTTCATTAATTCTTCACAGAATTTTTGCTTTGCTTTCCAAATCCAAAGTGAAATATCCTTTGCAAAAGAGTAATAGATAAAACACTTCCTTGAAGAAAACATTCCAATACTCACCAAAGCTACTTTAGTTGAGGTATTTAGTTTTTTCAGTTCATTTATTCTATTCCTCCATTGGTTTACAAGCTGTTGGACAGAATTTAGCTGAAGAGAGAAGCCAGAAAAAAATGATTTAATAACAAATATTTAAATTAGTTTCATCAATAACAATTTCACATATTTGCCAAAAAAAAGTTTATATAACAGCTTTATGCCCCATCTCTTAATGACCTGTTTGTTTGCCAAATAAATTCTCACTCTGGTCACTTCTCCCTGTTCACCAGCTCCATTTTTTGGTGTGTGTGTGTGTGTGTGTGTGTATGACTGGGGATTGAACTCAGGACCTTTGTACTGAGCTACATCCCAAACTTTTTAAAATTTTTCTATTTTGAGAGAGGGTCTTACAAAGTTGCCCAAGCTGGGTTTGAAATTTCAATCCTTCTCCCTGAGTCTCCTAGAGTGCTGGGATTATAGCTGTGCGTCACCACTCCTGGCTCACCAACTCCTTGGATCAACTGGTTAATCACAAATACCTGGCAGCACAGTTATTTGTATTTAGATAGAAAAGTTACTATGTGAACTAGTTGAAATGTAGGATCATGACTATAGACAACAGAAAAATACTACTATTTCCTTTGGGTACCCACTTTATTCTATTCTATCAACTACTGACGCAATTTATTCAGATTTTTCTTTTCTCTCTTTGTTTTCTTTTCTTTTTTGCGGGGGGGATATATGACATGTGAGGATGTTAATCTGTATGAAAAACTGCTCCCCTCCCCTTGGCATTCACTCTGGGATCTGCACCTAAAAGATGCTTGGTAAACATCTGTTAAATGCTGAAAAGGTTTGCTATCTGGGACTGACTCCTGAGAAATTTGTAGTAAAAATAATATTTCTAATTACTACAGCAAAATATATTATCATCATTTTAGGTAACCAACTATCAAAGAAAGTAATTTAAAAAAAAGAAAGAAAGAAAAAGCCTTTAAAAAAAATTACAGTCATCAACTTTGCCAAAACACAACAAGCCACTGCAAATACAGAAAACAGCAATTGGGAGCCAATTTGTTATTGAGGTAGATGGATAGGAAAAAAACTTACATAACTCTGTAAGTTATTGCTGGTTAAGAGGTTATGGTATTCAAGCCTCAACTCCTCTGGTGAAATATCTGTAAAACCTGAAGTGAGGAATCAATTGGAATTTTAAAATTAATACCAAAATTTTGATAGTAAAGCTAGAGGAGCTAGACAAGAAAACATATTGGTATTGATTATCAGAAAAATTTTATAATCATGAGAAAAAATTCAAAGCCTACACTATTTAATGTCTAATAAAGTATAAAATTAGAATGAATTATTTGAACTTCTGTGTAAGAATTTTCTAAAAATAAGTGGAGTGGGATAAATAAAAGAAAAAGAAAGATCTGGCTACTTATCCATTCAAACTTCAGTCTTAAAAATAGTCTATTAGAGTCTATAATAAACAAATAGTTAACCATGGAAACCATAATTGTAACACATATGGTAGGAGAACAGCTAATGTCCTTAACATATAAATAACACTTATAAATCAATAAAAAAGTTAATATAAACAAATACAAAGAAGAAGCAATTCACAAATAATTTAAATAGCTACTGAATAAATGAAATTAAATTTTAAAATGCAACAAACTAGAGAAAAAAATGCTTTACTTAATAGAGTGGCAAAAATTAAAAATATTTATTGTTATTCAATAAATAAAATGGATATTATCCTAAATTGCTGGTGAATTAGAATGATGCAACTTTTCTGAGAGAAAAATTGTCAATAAGCATCATAAGCATCATAAGCATCTACAATGTGCATGTTCTCTGACTTGCAGTACAATTTCTGTAATTTAACTTCTGGAAATAATTATATATGTAAACAAAGGTTATTATGTATAAGGATGTTCATTGCAGTATTTCTAGTAATAGTAATAAAACAAAAAAGTACAATAGTGGGCTGAGGGTATAGCTCAGTGGTACAGTGCTTGCCCAGCATGCAACAAGTCCTAGGTTCTATCTGTAGTACCAAAAAAAAAAAGTAGAATACCAAACGTGATTATAAACCTAATTTTATATATATACACACACATATATATGTACATATATTAAATACACACATAAATACTTTTTGTGTGTAAGTTTTACAGGAAATACTAAAATATTTCAGCTATTACCTGAAACATCAGATACATTTAATTTACATGAATTTAATTTACATATTTTGTACCTTCAATGTTTTCTATAGCAACTGTAACTTTTATAATTGGAAAAAATGTATTAAAAGGAAAAAATGTTCAAGATATTTTCTACAGAGAACCCAGATGTTAACTCCAAGAACATCTACACCACTTGAAAAAATCCTAGGAATCAATGGATTTCTCTCTTTCTCTACATCTACTATATCAGCATCCTATCAATTCACGCTCCAAAACAGAACTCAAATTTGACTAATTCTGTTTCTACTGCTAGTAAGTATAATCCAGTCAACAGCAGTCATTTTCTATCTTGTCCTCCTGCCTTTACTTTTGCCCCAGCTCCCAATAGACTTCTCCCACCCAGTGCAATTAGACTATACATCGCCGATCCCTTGCTACCTCTTTGCTTTCTCCCATTAATCTTCCTTGTTTATTCTCCTTCAGTAATTTAGACCTAGCTAGTACCCAAATGTGCCAATGTTGTTTCCACCTTAGGGCATTTGCACTGGGTATCACACTGCCAAGCAATGTTCTTCCCAAATCAGTCATAGCGTAAGTGACACCTTCTCTTCATTCAGGGCTCATCCCCAGCATTGCCTCTCTAGAATGAATGACGGAGGACTCTATCTAAAGGAGCACTATTCCTCTAGTCACTCTCTATTCCTACCAGTCATTCTCAACCAGGGTTCCTCATGTGAACCAAAGAACAAAGAAAACAGTTTGAGTATGTTTTGCATGGGTGGTACAAAAGGAGTATCATTCTAGCTGCGTAGGAAAGTTAATTCATTATAACGGATGGTTAAGGAGAGCAGTACTCAAAACATTTTGGTGTCAGAACACATTTACATTTTAATGAAGGACTCCCAAAAGCTTTTGTTTATGTGGGTTACCTATATTGATAATTACTACATTTGAAAAATGAAAACTGAGAAATTCAGAAAATATTTACAAATTAATTTAAAATAAGAAATCAGAGGCTGGGGATATAGCTCAGTGGTAAATCATCTGCCCAGAATGTGCAAGGCTTTGGGTTTGATCCAGCACAGCAAGCAAGACAAGATAAGACAGGTCACACACAAAAAAATCTCAACTGATGGGCTGGGCATTTAACTCAGTGGTGTTGCCGCCTGCCTCGCAAGCGCAAGGTCCTGAGTTTGATACCCGGTACCAAAAAAAAAAAGACAAAAAATCCCAACTGAATATCCACATACATTTATTTTAATGAGATGAAAAGCACTGTTTAATGTCTGTAAATCTTTAACGTTTGGTTTAGTAAGAGACTGCTAGATTCATATATTTATATTTCTGCATCAATATCTTGAATATAGTTTGAACATGTTGAAGTATATGAAAAAAATCTGTACTCACACAGATATGTCATTGGAAAAAGAAGACATCAAAGGCCTTTTTCAGATAACTATGGACAATATTCTTTGACATTACAGCAAAACTACAGTTTTTTAACTATAAAGTGGAGTCAAAAGCTAATGTGCACCTGGGTGTGGTGGCACATGTCTGTAACCTCAGCTATTTGGAGGCTGAGGCAGAAGGATAGCAAGTTTGAGTCTGGGTGCCTAAACTTATATAGCTCAGCACTCCCTAGGGAGGTTCAATTTCCAGTACAAAAAACAACAAAACACTAAGGAGATTTTTAAGATATTATATTAAAATCCATGGGAACTGGTTTATGTTGTACTTAAAATGGATTTTCAGCCATGTGTAATTTTGTAGCACCAAACATTGGTCATTTGGAAAATAATGGTTCAGTGAGTTAATGCAGAACTTCCAAATGTTGGCAAATGTCACTATATAAAAAAATTCTTATTTGTTAATGTTATCCATCTCATTAGAAGAAATTTTGAGTATTGAGAAGCCATCATGTTCACAGTGACAGTTGTTTTTCATAATTTTCATTTTTGCTTGAAAGCATGAATTTTATCACTGGCAATAAACACTGTCAGTTGTTTTCTTTGAAATGACAGGCTCACCTCATTTATTCATTCAATATATCCGCCAAATACGCAAATATAAATAATCAGAGCTGTCATGCTTTGCAGTAAAAACTGTAAAAAAAGTGATTCAGTAAGCTTACAACTAAAATGACCACAGATGGGTTTTCCCTCCAGACAAACATCATACTTGGGAATGGGGTACAAGCTCTTTATGTGTGCTTATCATTTTGTTACACAGAATATTTAAAATGTATACTCAAGGGTCAAGATTTAATAAAATACTTTTTACTTTATAAAAACTTTTGTGGTATGGGGATTGAACCTAGGGGTGCTCTACCATTGATCTGTATCTCCACCTTTTTTACTTTTTATTTTGACAATTGCCCAGGTAATTAATTCCTCAAACTGGTGATCTTCCTGCCTCAACTCCCTAAGGGCTGGGATTATAGGTGTGGTACCACTGTATCTGGCTTTTACATCTTCATCAAGGACATTCTTTCCAAAGTGACACTTAAAATTTTTCTTTATTATGATTAATCTATTTTCTATTAGTAGTTTATTGCCTCTGCTTTAACTCATACTAAGATATGAATATCAATATTATTCACCAATGCTTTTGTATCAACACTACAAATGTCAACACAGTGAAAATGACAATTAATGTCTTAGTATTATGAAATATTCTTGAACTTATACAGCCCCTAAGAAGTCTTAGGGAAACGTTGCCAGATTTAACAAATAAAAATAGAGCATGCTAAGTTAAATTTGAATTTCAAACACAAATATTTTTTTTTTGGTACTGGGGATCAAACTTAGGACCTTGTGCTTGCAAGGCGACAGAACCACTGAGCTAAATTCCTGGCCCTCAAGAACAAATATTTTATTAGTATGCATATATCCCAAATATTACATGGAATACATATATATTAAAAATATTCTATACCTGAAATTTTAATGTGAGTGGATGTTTTACATTTTATATATGGCAACTCTGTACATGGGTCAAATCAACATTCAACACTTTGAGAACCACTGCTTTAGAACATTAGGCATTAGGGTCAATTCTAAACTAATTAAAACTTAAATACTAATTAAGAATTACTATTTAAATTGATTAAAGTCTTATTATTTGTTAGGCATATGTCTGGCTGTCCCCCCAAAGCTTCATGTGGTCACAGGTGGGGTTTTTCAGAGGTGGCTGAATCTAGAGTGTGTGATGCTGGGATCAAGGGTGTGATTACTAAATTAGTCCACTGATAGGTTTCTGCATATTTCTGGTTGTGGGTAATAGGAAAGCCCATCCTGGGTGTGAGAACTGCCTGCTCTAAGGGTATGTAGCATTTATAAACTATAAGGGGCAGAAAGTGGACTGTAGTCATTACTTACTGCTTGCTACTTTGCTGCCTTCTGCCTGCAATGAACTGTTTCACCTCTGCAATGCCTCTCTGCCAACTACCCTGCCTTGGAGCCAGCCAACTATGAACTGAAACCTCTACAAACAGTGAACTAAATAAACCTTTCCTCCATTTTTTTTGGTACTAGGGATTGAACTCTGGATGGACCTTGCACTTACAAGGCAGGCAGCGGAACCATTGAGCTAAATCCCTGGCCCAAACTTTCCTCCTTTAACTTTGGATGTGGAGTCTTTTGTCTCAGCAATGAAAGAAATTAACTGAGACAATACTTTATTATTTTCTTTTTAGAAAATATCACCACCTGAAATTACCTCATCTATTTGCATTCTTTTCTTCCCGGCTTTGGTGTTATAGGTCAGTTGCTTCCTCAACAAGACAAAGGCCCAGGAGCACCTAGAGAGGGCTTGGAAAAGCCTGGTAATCAAGCTTTCACCTCAGGCCTAAGGGACTATGGTTAATAAAAAATAGGAAAGAAATAAGTATTCTAAAGAAATGCCATCCATGTAGCCCAAATAGAGCCCTTTATTTTCAAACATTATGTCTAAGATAAGTTTCAATATACTTTAAGAAAAAAACTACTCTTAGAAGGAAAGAAAGGAAAGAATGGATGAACAAAACCGAATGGTAGGAAGAATGCGACTCTTCTATTCATTGCAAGCATTTAGAAAGTGCTGAGGTTTCATATATAGGGAACTAAGAGAGTAGAGCCTCATCCTAGGTTATAGAATTGTGGTAGGTCTTGTTAATCTCTCATGAGGAATATATACATTTGGGGGGTGGTACCAGGGATAAAACCCAGAGGCACTCTACCAGTGAGCTACATATCCCTAGTGCTTTGTATTTTTTACTTTGAGAAAGGGTCTTGCTAAGTTGCTCAGTTGAGACTTGAACTTGCTATCTTTTTGTCTCAGTCTCCTTCAGTACTAGGCTTATAAGGATGTACCAACACACTTGCTGAGAACTACACACATATCCTAAAGGAACTATATTCTCTAACCTCAATCTCTGAATTATCAAGTTCTGCTAAAATACTTGGAATCTTTAACTAATGCACAGAAATCTAACTGCAGCTAAATTTGTAGTTCATTTCTTTATTTAGCATGGTGTTTGTTTTGAATATATTTTGAAAACTCAATTTCTAGGCTGGGGTATAGTTCAGTGGCAGAATATTTGCTTAGCATGTATGATGCCTTGAGTTCAATCCCAAGCACCACAAAACAAAACAAAACAAAACAAAACAAAAAAACAATTTCCCAGTCACCTGAAATACTAGGTTTCTTTTTCACTGGTGAATAAACAGAAAACATCCACTGCCCCGAAGATTCCCAAATCTCCATATCTTTTATGATTCCTTCTCTGAAAAAAACCAAAACAAACAAACAAAAAAAATCAGAATTTTTTTACCTGCTTGTTAAAAATTATTTATAATTTTCAATGACTGAAATTTTAAATTTTAGAATATACAATTTAAGATATTTTCTGAAAAATGTTCTTTAAAGTAGCTTACAGAAATCCAAAGTACATCTTATGTTATAATATCAGAGAAATTAATAATTAAACCATTAACCAATACACTTAAGAATTCCCATAAATACCATACATTTTTAAAAGAATCAAAATATAGTAAGCACAATACTGACTTTAATTTTTCTTTATTATCATAAACATCAATGATCAACTAATTGCAAACAATAAAAAGTACCACTGAACTGATAAGAGAATCAAATTTTAAAAAGTGTATTATAGGACATCAGGGATCATTTTATCTAATTCTTACATTTTCCTATATGGAAACAGATCCACGTCTGTAACAGTTACTTTGTAGCAAGGCCATAAATACATTCAGTTTTACAGTGAAGCTTCTCTTCATCCAGAATACCACAATAAATAAAATAACAGGTACCAGAGAATAGTATTATTCAATTCAGGATCACAATGAATATGAAAAGATTTTTGTTTGTTCTTTTTATGTATTTTTTTAAAAATTAGGGCTAGTATATACAAGGGCCTGGGGTTTGATCCCCAGAACTACCAAACAACAAAAAACAAAAGACACCAATAATAAACTTCCAAAAATCCCAATTTAAAAAATCAACTACATATGATATACAGCTCAAAATGTTTGTTTTCTTTTTTCAAAATTTTTATTATGGTAAAATATTAATATTACAAAATTCAAAATTTTAGCCATTTATAAGTGTATGAATCTGGAACAGTAAGAACATTCACAGTGTTGTGCTGTGATCATCATTATTTCTGAAACTTTTTCACAATGATCTGCAACAGAATCTCTGTATCTTTAAATAATAACATTCCTTCCCTCTCCTCCAAGCCTGTGGTGGCCTCTATTCTACTTTCTATGAATTTGCCTTTTCTAGGGACCTCATATAGGTGGAAAAATATGCTACACTTGATCTTAGCCAAAAGGCCGAGACGCAATGGATGGAAAAATATGATAGATGTTTACCATTTATGGGAAACAAAAGACTAACAAACATATTGCAATTCTGTTTTGAAAGCCAGGAGGTAAGGAAGTATTAGCTATACATTGTTTTGGCAGAAGCTATAAATTTTAACACAAATGTTAAGAAATGTCATGACTGTACTATACAATAATGAAGCAAATCAATGAAATCAGTTTGAATAGGGTAACTGAAATAAAACTTTAAGTGACACAATCAGTGATCTTCAAGATCATACATTGTTCTGACTTATCTGATACTTTGTAGAGAACTCATAATTTACAATGAAATAAAGCAGGACTAAGCTTAGATATTAAAAGTATACCATAACCAATAAAAAGTAGGAAAAACCCCATAAATAACCCTAAGAAGGCATGTTACTAATAACTAAAAAGATGATATATATTTTTAAATGAAATAAAGTCTAGAATGATATATAATAAAACAATAATTAGCTCTGAGTGATAGGCTCCTGGCTGATTGTTTTAACTTAGTCTGAGTTTTTAATAATTACTTATTTTTAAAGGTGCTTTTGGAAAAAAACAAGCAAATGGATAGTGTTTTTCCTTACAGAAGCTTCTTTTCATCTTTCTGCTCTTCAGAGCTAGGTGAAGCAAATGGGTTCTGAGATAATCCAAAACCTGTGTTCCTGGAAGTTGAAGTTTTAGAATCAAAAGAACTGAAAGATGACTTTTCTTGATCTCTACTACCTCCCCACGGTGTGGATTTGGAGAAACTGGATGGCTGGATGATACTGGAATATCTCTGGCTGGTAGCATTTCCTTCATTCCTGTTACTACCTAAAATAATAAAGTTAAAAGAACACTTTTATTGATAATTTCTTTTAAATCTTGAAATTCATTATATTATCTTAATTCTAGAAGTTATAAAAGGCTTGACAAAACACATTTCTACTCACTTTAAATGACAACCTTTTTATTTCTACTTGTATAGTTAGGTATAGTATCAATAATGTCTAACTGCATTTTTGTTTAAACAGATTCAGACGACCACGAACCCAGAGAAAAATAAAAATACATTATTGCAGCTGACATAAGTTTATTGAACAAACAACTGCTTGTAGTGGAATGGATAGAGAGTATTTTAAATTATAAATTCTTTTAAGATAAAAAGATGTTTTTATCATTCTTTGTTCACCAAATGGGCCCTATATAGCAGTAAATGTTAAAAATAAAGAAAAGGACAATGAATTAAAGAGAACAATAAATAAAAGATTAAATTCTACCTTCTGTCCTTAAGTAGATGTTTAAGTCTACTCCCTTAATTTTCCCTCTGATAACATCTATATATGTTATCTTTCATAGAGAGATTACAGAGGTATTTGATACATGAATAAAGTACATGAGGTCTGAATAGATTCCTAGTATTTCAAGAATACCAAATGAGCCAATAGGACTCTTTTGTTTCTGTATTGTCTTCAATCTTTTCACTTCCTAAGTGGGATTAAGATTAAAGGTAATGTATCTTGTTTCTGACTTAGACAGAGGTATGCTGTTATGAAAGTTCATCCCCAACTCTAAACTACTTGATAATCTAAAGAGAAAATGGAGGAGACTGCTGGACCAGATCCCTGAAGTAGGAGTTGATGGTATCTTATTTTTCTGAAGTTCCAAATCCTTTGTGGTATCACACAACTATAAAAACGGACTTCCTCCTTCTGTATGTTGCATTTGGCCTTCATAGCTTTTGAACTTGTAATTCTAGAAACATTAGCTACTGGGAGCTAACACTGTTTATCTACCAAGTTTTATTTACAGTTTTTTCATCCATGAATCTATCTATTCAACGTTTAATTTCTAATGACATTTAGAGCAAGTTTCCAAGGACTGTCAAATATTGTTTTGTTGTCCCTGGAAACACATTCATGGATTTCAGATTCTGAGTTCTAATTTTTAGTTTGGAATAATTCACTTGTACAATTTTAGATGCACAAAAGGTCCATCTTCTACAAGTTTAGACAAGAAACTACCATGCAATTCAAAGATCAGATGAATAATCCTCAAAGAAAGGAAAAGTGACAGAACTCCATGGTACCTTAAAGCATTAAGTTCCAATACTAAGAAAATAAAACCTAATTATCCACTTGACCTTTATTTAAATTCTTGTGTTCTGCTGTTGCTTTCATGTTTGATTTGTTCCCTCCTTAAAGAGAAATGCTTTGGCAATGTCCTAGGCTCAGGAAGCAGGTCAACGTAGCTTCCACATCTCCTTCTTCATAAACCAGAAGGTTCTTAACTGGCATTCTATCCTAAATTTAAAGAGCATGTGCCATTTTCTTGTGATATTATTACTGGGAAGTCACCTCCTAACATGGTGAGGTCCAAACACCGAAAGGAACTGGCCACACACCTTGATAGTGTATATGACAAAAGATTCAGACAAATGTTGGTTGTCATAGAGTATAGGTAAAGTTTACTGCAAAATAGATTTCCAGAGAGCCAGAGAGAGAATTCAGCTTCAAGCATGAAGGTGTAGGGACCAAAATGGCAGCTGCACTGAATGAGGTCTCACGTTATATTTATATGACTAACTAGGTCTTTTCAAGAAATAACCTTTTCTTCCTCTGAAGTCAGTGTTCTTTTACAAATAAAATGGTTTGTATTTATCTACTTCAGAGATTTGTAGATCACTGTTTAGTCCTTATGTAAATGTTTCATTTGGTTTGTTTTGAAACCTTGAAGTTTTTCCACTTCCTAACCCATAATCTATACTTTGTATGGGCCCTCAACCTTATCAGCATGCTCAGAGGAGGTTAGATTCTCTTGAGCAGTTCAAACAATAAGCTTGTATGGATTTTACCTGCAGCTAATGACTAGGAAAGCAAAAGCGGAAAAAAAAAAAAATCACGTCTTTGGTTTTAAAATAATCCCCAGCTGCCTGTCTCCAGGCCTGCTAATGACTTTCTGCCTAACATTTTTCTCCTCAAAAGGTGGGAACCTAAAATTATTTAGGACATTCTGTCATTCTGGCTACCTGCTGAGAGAGAGTGTTAAGGAGAGGGAGTTAGGGTTCTCATACTTGCTGACTTTCAGGCCTGGAGGATCAGTCAAGGGGTCATAAAGCTGTATCAGGACACATGATCATCTGGAAGTGGATAGAAATGGGAAGAAATAGTTTAGGATAGCCATTTATTATGCACAGTCCAAATAAAAGATTAAAAGAAGAAAAACTGCAGTGGTTATGAACTTTTTTCCACGAAGTCCATTAGAAAGAAGCAAAAGATAATAAGAGTTAAAGAAGGGAAAAAGGAAATGAATTCCTTATAATCAGATTTACATAGGGCCTCTTATAGGCATCTAAGTTAAGCTCATATCTCCTGGAAGAACAAATGAACAGAAGTGTTATTATAATAAAGATTCTGATTAAGAGCAAAGTTTATGCAACCTTCAGTTGGAAGGTAGGCCAGATGGTGTGGTATTTACTTAACTGAAATTCATGTGAATTAGAATTTCAAATGTCCTACAAGTTGGCTTTTCCAGGACGATGTGGTCTAATAAGGGGCTTGTCCCTCCCAAGGTTTCACTTAGAAATGGTGAATTGGACCAGCATTTCCTGAAACCTTGATAGCTGTTAGAGAACAGAGAAGTACCAAAAAAGGACTCTACAGAGAAATTAATTGTTGACCTTGTGGAAATTAAAAATGGTTTCAGCAAAATACCAGTATGACCAGGACCTGGAATTCAGATACCTGGAACAACTTAACCAAGGAAAAGAAGAAGGAAATCTCCAAGAATCAAGAAAGAGCTGGGCCAGGGATTTAGCTCAGTGGTTCCACTGCCTACCTCATAAGGCAAGGGCTCAAGTTTGATTCCCAGAAAAGAAAGAAAGGAAGGAAGGAAGAAAAAAGAGCTGACAGGAAAACTAGAAATTACACAAAACTGAACATGATACAGAGAAAAGAAGGAAGCAGCCTGGAAACCAACCTTAGCTCCTAGGGGGAGGGAAACTTGTCTCTGCAAACAAAGGTATGCCAGAGGACTGGGCCAACAGGGCTTAAAGAGAAATCCATGGCTACTTTATACTGCAAAAACAGTGTGGGGTTTCATGCTGAATATAACTCCTCCCAAAAAGCAGGCTAGAGTTGGAGAAGAAATACATGGCAGTGCCTATCATATTTCAGTGATGAACAGGAAACTGCTTTGGGAAGGAGTTAATTGTTTAAGACTGAGCTACTCTGGGAATCAGGAGCCACTGAACAACTACACTCCAAAAAATTCTCAAGGATATCCTAGAAAGAGACATCAAAGCCAACAATGCCAAAAAGCCTAGTGAAATGAATACATCAGGAAATGTAAGCAGTTAAGTGTGTGTGTGTGTGTGTGTGTGTGTGTGTGTGTGTTAACAGAAAAATAATAAAATGACAGGAATAATTCTCAATGTGAATGATCTCAGCTCCCAAATTAAAAGATACAGAGTGGCAGAATGGATCAAAAAACAAAACCCAATGGTATGTCATATATAATAGACACATTTAATCCAAAAAAGAATAATCAAAGGATCAATATTCTATGTAACAAGATCCTAAAAACAAGCAGGAATAACTGCTCTATTTTCAAAGTAGACTTCAAGCCAAAACTGATCAAAAGAGGCAAAGGAGGTCACTATGTATTGGTTAAGGGAACAATTCAAGAGGAAGAATTGACAATTATAAATATTTATTCACTGAGCACTAGCACACTCAACTTCATAAATAAACACTAATAGACAGGAAAAAATCAGGTAAACATCAACACAATTATAAAGCAGGACCTCAATACCACACTCAATATCACAAGTAGATCAATGAGACAAAAAAAAAAAAACAAAAACCAAAACAACAAAGAAACATCAGAGTTGAAACACATCTTTGAACAAATGGACTCCATAGTTACCTAGTGTTCTACCCAATAACACAATATGTATTCTTTTCGGTAGCACACAGAACTTTCTTGAAAATAGACCACATACTAGTTGATAAAGCATGCTTAAGTACAAAAGAATCAAAATTATCTTATGCATTTTTTCAGATCACAGTGCAATGAAAGAAGAAATCAATGACAAAAAACTCCACAGAAATTATGCAGCACATGAAAATTAAACAACACAGTTTTGATAATCAACGGGTCACAGAAGAAATCAGGAAAGAAATTAGCTCCTAGAATCAAGCAATAATGCCAATAAAACATACCACAACCTATTGATCACAATGAAAGGAGTCCAAAGAAAGTTTATAATTGTGAATGCCCACATCAGAAAAACAGAATAAGCCCAAAAATAAGACAATAATACACCATGTGCTAGGTAAACAAGAACAATACAAATCCAGAGCTAGTATAAATAAGGAAATTATAAAGATCAGTGCAGAAATTAATGAAATTAAGACAAAAAAATACAAAGAATCAAGGAATTGAAGAGCTGCTTCTTTGAAAGGATAAACAAAACAAACTCTTAGCCAATCTTACAAAAGAAGGAAAAAAAAGACGCCTATCAGTATAATCAGAAATGAAAAAGGCAAGGTCACCACACAGTTGAAACACTGATGATTATTAGTAACCACTTCAAAGAACTGTCCATCAATACATTGGTCCATCAATATATGGATACTTTCCTTGAACCTGTGAATTACCAATTTGAATCAGGCAGATATTAAAAACAAAACTGAATATCCAACAACAGGCAATGACATTGAGGCAGGAATTAAAAAAAAAAAAACAAAAAACCCTATCAAATAAAAAAATCCTGATGGATTCCCAAAAATCCTAAGACTTGATGGATTCACCACTGAATTCTACAAAAACTG